AAAGAAAAATAGAACCAGGTTTTTTGTTACTGCAGTTGCAAAAGATAGGGCATTTGGTTGAAAAGGAAGATTTTTAGCGACGGTGTTCTTTGCTGTTGCCAATAGTACTTTAGCGACGTCATCAAGTGCTGTCTCAAGTAACCCTTTAGCGATGGTATTTGTGCCGTCGCAAATAACCCTTTTAGCGACGGCAACACAGTGCCGTCTAAAAAAAACTCAGATTTTCACGCGTTAATGGTGACAGCATTTTTCCGTCGCAAAAAGGCATTTTTACCGTCGCCTTTTTTTTGTGACGGCGTTATACTGTCGCTAAAACCCTTTTGCAACTCCCTTTGTTGCGACCCCCCACTTGCCGTCGCAAAAGGCTAGTTACTGTCACAAAAAACCTTTTGAGACGGCGTTTTGGGTATTTGCGATGACATTTTACCGTCGCAAAAAAGTAATTTTTTTGTAGTGTGGGTTCATCACATAAACAGTTCGGTTCAGTCAATATTGAGAGTATATTTAGCACCAAATCGATCTTTTTGATTTTTATGATTGAGTCACCGATACAGACTGTATGTTAGGGTTTGGTTTTATTAGTATTGTCAGTTTGATGTAGAAGAAAAATTTACATACAATTTTAAAAGGTTTTATAGTAGATTATAAAATTTATGAAGAAAATATATGAAAATTGCCCTATAAATGTTTTTCTCCCTAATTTTTATTACAAAAGTGTATTATATTAGTTATTTCTTATATAATGTTCAAGAAATTATAATATAAAAATATTTAAATATAATATTTAGTCAGTTCAACTTGTATCCATATAAAAAATTTTAAAATCAAAATACAGTGTATATTAAGAAAAATAGACTAAAAATTAAAATTCTTATCAATTTCGATCGGTCAACTTGATTTTATTAATTTTCCTTGCTTCCCTACATAAAACTGGGGTGCATCCGTAATTAGAAGGCTATGCAATATAGCCAATGCCCGTCGAAAGTCCATAATAATAATTTAATGCAAGACATTTTGTCAGGTAAAAGATGTACAATTATACACTATTACTAAATCGTACAATTGGAAAAAAAAAAATTAAAAATATATTTATTATTCTACGAACCCATCCACATTTTAATGTATTATTCTTAAACCCATCCTCACAATATAATTTTTAGGGAAAACTAATCTAGGGTCCCTCTTCCACTTTTCATAATGGAAGAGATCCACAAAATTATTTTTTGATGTCTAAGGTCTCTAAATATATATCAGAGAAATTTGACTCAAAAATTATAGTTCTTCCTTGTCTTTTCCCGCTGTGCTCCACTCTAGGTGGGTGTCCAGCTCGTCTCGCTTCTCATCAAAGAAGTCGAGCAAGTATATGAAAGGCTAAGGAAATGAGTCTTAGTGGATTCTGAAAGAGCAGGCCAAGATACATCACCACCCATCACAGGACCAACCCCAACTACACCATTCAAGCGTTTGTTCCAAGCTGGCTTCTTGGGATGATCGACATTGCTCTGATTACTATCAGAGTTCTCCATCTGAGTCTCCTTTGAACAATCTGAAAACGAAACTTCCTCTGATGCTTCGTGTTCGCCTCGAACGACTTGAGCCCATGCAGTTCACTGCTGCTGCTGCTGATTGATGGTCGTGTCATCATCTAAACCAGTTAGTATACCAACTTCAAATCGAACTTATATTTCTCAAGATCATCCAACACTTCCATGCAAGAGAAGGCTAAGCGAAGGCAAAAATTTCTCAAATTTCTCTGGATTCAACCCAGAGAAATTTAAATTTTCTCTGGATTCATAAGGATGTTGTTGCAGATGATGACACACTTCCGAAAAATAAGTTGCCCCGAAGGGCGAATCAGCTTCTTCTCGAGATCGAACTGCAAAGATTGCAGCGCGGTTCGATTGTTCTTCAGAGAACGAGGCAAATATCGCAGAAGCTGCTGGTGCTTCAGCAGTCCTCATTATTAATAACCAGAAAGGTAATTAGTAATTCCATATGTGTAGTCTTTTATTCGCTGCTTTTGTCAATTAATAACAGTAGCTCCGAGAAATGTCAGTAGTTGATGTTATTCTTACCTATATAATTATTTTTCTTGTTTTTGAATCCCATTTCTGACTGACATAAATAAAGGACCTGAATAACAATATGAAATATTTAAAATAAGTTGCTAACTAGTGTTTCGCATATAAAACTCTGAAATAGAAGGAAACATAGAGATTGATTACATTGATAAAGTTGAGGTTCTCCCCTATTATTTTTATTTTATCAAATTTGTTTCTTTACCTGCAGAGCTTTACAAGATGGTTTGTGAACCCGACGAAACTGATTTAAATATACACATACCTGCTGTCATACTCCCACAAGATGTTGGCACAAGCTTAAAGAAAATGCTGATGAATTCTTATGTTAAAACAAAAAAAGGGCAGAGAAATTTACAGTGGAAAGTTTAGGAAAGTCCAGAGAAATTTTCAAAATTTTTCTGGACCAATTTTCTTTGACTTGAATTTTCTCTGGACCAATTTTCTCTGGACTGATGTTGAGGGACCTTAGACATCATGAAAATATTTAATGTCCTTTATACTATAAAATTATAATATCAGGGACCTTAAAAAAAATATCCCTAATTTTTAAAGGTAAATTAAAAATACACTTCTTAAGATTTGATTAACATATAAATTATTATTTATGATTTTAAAAATTATATTTCATCTATTAAGATTTCTAATTTTATAACAAATCACCCATTTTATTAATAAATCATTAAGTTAATTAATAGTTTTTAATGATATTAAAAATATATTTTAATCAATAATTTAGAGAATATTATTATTGTAAAGGAGAACAATTATGAATTTTATTTTTTTTGTTAATTCTGTTAAATAAAAAATTATGTCAAGGAGATATTTGTAATTTTTCAAATTACAGGAGACAATCTGTACTTTAAGTAAACCTTAGGGGGTGTATTTATAATTTACCTAAATTTTAAATATACTCAAACATAACCTACAAAAATTTGATATATTTGAATGGACTTGGACAGAGATACCAAATAATTTGAGCAATTGAAACAAAATTGTATATATAAATATATACTGTAAAATTATTTGCAATTTTATTTTTTTAGTAATAAATAAGATTAATTAAAAATTTAATATTAATGAACAAAAGCAAATACACCTTTTAGATAGGGATCATCGAATAAGTATATATTAAGAAAAAATTACATTTTATAATGGCATAAAATAATTTAAATATGATTTTTCAAAAAATGATTTTAATTTAAAAATTACAATAAAATATTTAAATATAATAAAATTAAATTTCTTACAAAATAAAAGTATATGGAAAAAAAAGTAAGAAGAAAATTTAGAATAGTATTCTTATTTGATCTGAAAATAATTTTAGATGACCAATAAATTATTACCTATGACCTTCATTTTTTTCAAATAAAAAAAGATATTTCACAAATCATCACTTTTATTAGAAAAAAACATTTATTTATATTTGTTTAGAAAAAGTCACTTTTTAGCCTCGTTTAAGAACAGACTATTTTAGTAATTTTTTGATTCTTTACAAAAAAAAATGTGTAGAAAAGTAGAAAGAATGATATGACAACTTATAGTGATTTTTTGACTTTTTAGCTAAATACTTAGTCCCCGAACGAGACTTGCCAAAAAAATTTCATTTTTTATTTTAATTTGTTTAATTGACAATTAATATTGTTAGAATAATAAATTATCATGTGTATCTCTTATTTTTTTAATATTATATAAAGAAATAAGTTTCACCAACTATCACTTTTAATAGGGAAAAAAATGTTTATTTTTATTTAATTTTATCAAAAGTCACTTCTTAACTATTTAAGTCAAGAAAGAAATATTTTTTTATTTTAGTTTATTTAATTAACAATTGAGATAAAAAATAAAATAAAATAATAGAATCCATTATTTTGGCAATTGTTAAAAGAGTCATTCATTTTCTTAATGTTTGTCTTTTGTTAAAAAAAAAATTATTAAAAAAACTTATTGTTTAAATCCTTATAGTTTAGAAGGACATAAATTTTTTTTATAAAATTTAAAACCAAAAATGGCAAAAAATAAAAATATAAACTTTTAATAGCGATTAATAATTTGAATACGTGTATTTAATAACATATTATATTTAGACCAATAATATTATGACAAAAGTGAATTTTGATCTAATTCTAATTGTAGTAACATAATTTTCTTTTAAAAAAATTAAAATTATATTATGGATCTCTTCCATTACTAAAAATGGAGGAGGAACCTTAGACTATTTTTCTCTATAATTTATAAAAAAAATTAAATTTAAAGTTTTATTTTATAATTTAATAAAAATATGCATAAATTAATAAATGAATATTAATCTTATTCTAGTAACATAATTTAAGGAAGAATCTATATTTAAAATTTTATTTTAAGAATATAAAATTAATTTATAGACCAATCATATTGTGACACATATTAAACAAAATAAAAAAAGTAGAGAAATAAAAAATGAATTGTAACTTTCAGCTTTAATGACAATGTTTTGCAATTGTAATAGTATATTGATTTTGTATGAGATTTTGAATCTCTCATAATATCTCTTCTTAAAAGTATTCTTTTGTAAAATATATAAATAATGTTAACATCACTCTTATTACTCCTTGATACAAAAATAATGAGCTAATTATGATAATTTTAAATTTATATTTAAAACTTATAAATCATGGGATAGATCATTATAATTTTAAATTTGTATTGTGCCAATTTTAAATTTAAATTAATAAATTGCTTTTCATATGTAGTGACCCTCAAATTTGAATTTTGAAATAGATTAGCATATATTTTTTATTTTTTTAAATTTGATATACCTTCCATTTGAAAATCATAAATTAAGGAATATTTATTTTTATTTATATTTATTTTTTTTGTTTGCTTGAATAAGAGTTAGCCAATAGAAGTGTCTCCTCTCAACTCTTGAAAGAAGAACCCTAGATGGAGGTTGGAGGCTGGAATCCGGTGCTAAGAAGAAGACGAGTTGCAAATCAAAATGGAGGATCAGTGGATAATGGTGTGGTTACTATCTTCGTGGATGAGATCCCAAACTCTATGACTCCAAAGTGTTTGTTTGCTCTGTTTAATAATTTTGGCGTAGTTAAGGATGCCTTCATCCCATCCAAAAGACGAAAAGCGACAGGGTCGAGGTTTGGGTTTGTGCGATATGATTATAAGGTGGCTGCTGAAATGGCGGTGCAGAAGGCTAATGGATTATGGTGCGATAACAAGGCCCTGAAAGTAAAAAAAGCAGAGTTCAAAAAAGGAGAGGTTAAGCAACATGTAATGACAAACAGAGGAGATGCCCCGATGATGCAGCGTCCACAGCGGAGTTTCGGACATAGAAGGATGGATGGCATAGGTTGAAGATCTTTTGCAGAAGTAGTCCAGAGTGGTGGCAGTATTGAGAAGATGAAGATGGTTGTAAAGGCTTCTGAAGCCGGAAATGGGTGGCTCTATGACAGTGTAATTGTAAAGTTGAAATCATTTCTTGCCTTTGAAGAGTTTAAGAAGGAGGTTGGTAAAAGAGGTCCGGAGGAAATAAGAGTTAGAGAAGGAGGAGGAAGGTTAGCAGTGCTAACTTTCAAATCCCAGCAACACAAAAGGGAGGCCAGATCCAAGCTAGAAGAGTGGATGCTAGAATGGTGTGACTCTATTACAGATTGGGAAAACGGCAAGTATGTTGAACAGGAAAGGTGTGTGTGGCTCATATGTGTGGGTGTCCCATTTAATTTGTGGAGTGTTAATACATTCAGAGACATTGGAAAATTATGGAGTGAAGCTGTCCAATTTGATGATGATATCACCAATGCAAATTCATTTCAATGGGGGAAGGTACGAGTAATTACTTCCACAATGGAGTTTATCAACACGGTGATACAGGTTGAATGGAATGAAAGCCTAATCCCAGTCAGAGTGTGTGAAGAGATCCCAGTAGTAGGAAAGCCGTGCTACTGCAACAGCTCCTGTATGGAAAATGGGGTCACTGGGTCGATGGGCCAACATGAAGTTGATCAACTGTCACAAAATGGTCAGCCAGACAAGGAGGAACATTAAGATGAACACACGAGGAAGGAGGAGCTGAGCAGAAATGTTGAGAGAGCTGTTGTCGAACAGGATATGGTGGACTGCGAAGCAGGGGAAAAAGATGGAGGTAATGAGTGCCTATCTGTATCAGCTGTAAAAGAAACAGAGGATAACATGGGAAATCAAAATGTCAGAGGAGCTGGTATGGAGGACAGGTTATGTACATATAATAATAGTGTTATATACAATTATATAAGAAGTATCTGTTGAAAAGTATCCGACAGATATCCCATACCCTTGTCCGAGTGTCGGGTGTCCGACACGGGTAATTGATTTATTTTGAAGAGTCCATGTAACATAGGCAAAAACACAAAAAGAGTTTTATCAACAGATCAATAATAACAACGAATTATCCAGAGGTAAAGCATATGGAAGTATCTACTTGAATCAGAGTTTGCTTTAATAAAATGTGTATGAATAAAATGAATTTTCTTAATTAAAGAAAATTTGAAAAATTATAGTGCAGGGTTTTTTTTTTGTGGATTTTCATCCATTTAAAGATATTTTGAGGCATGTGTAGATGTATAATAATAGCCACAATTTTGAGAGGTTTCATTGGATAAAAATAAATACATGCCACTGAGAGGTCCCAACAATATTGTTTTTTTCTGGTTATATGTAAAAATGCCAACTTTATTATGTAAGGCACAAAAGTAAAATTTTGCAATTTTTCTCAAGGTACTTAAACAAGGAAGATAAATTTTGTAATTAAAAATATAACATTAACAAGTTGTAATAACTTCTCCAATGGTGAAGTATGAGATAGTATTTGGTTCATTAGAATAAAATAGAATGAAATAATCATTTTATCAAAATATTTATTCTCATATTTGGTTAGACTAAAAAAATAATGATAAATACATTATAAATATATTTCATTATAGAATTATCATTTCATTCTAATCAAACCAAATAGAGTATAAAGTTTCTATTGCAAACAAATAGCATGAAATTTAAAAAGTTCCTCTCTAACTGCTAAATCTACCAGTTTGCTTAGAAATTTAAAATATTCCTCTCTGATGGCTAAATGGTTTTTTCCTCTCAAATGTCTCGCATAATTTGCTTAGACCTTGAATCTAGATTCCTTCTAATTGGGGCATTATTTTTAGGATAAATTATTAATAGGTCATAATAGTTAGACTTAATTTTCATAATGTCTTATTAAATTAAGTCATAGTAGAATTGTTACTGAAAATAAATTTTTGTGATACTTTTTGCATATGTTTTTAAAAATTAACAATTAGTGACTTTTTGGGTCATGATTTTTATAAATCGTTACTAAAACTTACAATTAGTGACTTTTTGGTGACGAATTTTTCAAACTGTCACTAATAGTTAAAAATTATTTACATTTTTTGTAACAATTTTTTAAAACCGTCACTAATACTTATAATTAGTAAAAAAATTTGTGACAAAATTTTCAAACTGTCGTTGAAAATTAACAATTAGTGATGTTTTTAATAATATTTGATGAAAAATGTCATTAATTATTATAAAACCTATTGAATAATAAATTCACCTATTAAGACTTACACGTAAATCCCCTTATTTTTAAGAGAGAATTGGTGATAAATCCAATTTAGAGAGTGCTTAAAGCATTAGGTCTAATAGATATTTTTTATTAATAAAAGATCCACATATTATGAAATAATTTGATGAAAAATCTTTTTATTAATTTTGAAACACATTTTGTTCTCACCCCAACCGTAACCCAATAATCCTTGGGGGTCGTTAGGTAAACATTTTGGATTAAAAAATTACAAAAGGACAAAAAAAGTTCAAAAAATCACAAAAGAACAAAATAAGTAAAAAGACAAAAAATACGTTATTTTAAAGCCAAAAAACTAAATAAGAATACCAAATGACTAAAAAAGTCTTAGGCTAACAAGTCCAAAAAATAAAAAAACTAACTAAAAAAAAGTCATTACTAAACGAACACTGCTGTCAACAATGACACTACCACCCCCACCACGAACGCCACCACCGATGCCGCTGCCGCCGCCGCCGCCACCAAGGGACTCGGCAACTGTTTTTTCTTGTCCTCAATTTCACTCTCACTTATCTCTCTCTCCTAACCCTCTCTCTTTATCAGACTCATCTCTATATCGTACTGCGAGTACACCGAGACAAACTCTCCGATCGCCATGCTACAAGCTCCGCCAATTGTTCTGGCAATCCCGGGGAGCGGATCATGGTCTTAACATCTTTTCGGACCGCTCCGACGCCCATCATCAGTGATACGGTCGAGAGGAGCCATCAATTGCACCTAGTACGGCGGCTCGGAGCCACTGGGCTCTTTTCCAGTAAGCCACAGCAACCTCGACCTCAAGGGGTTCCATGGTGTGTGGTTGTTGTTGTCTCTCAACATCATCAACAACGTTAGGAGTCTCATGTTTTGTTTGGTTGAAGTGGGTTTGAGCTTGGGTTGAAGAAGCCATGTAAGAAGAAGAAAAAGAAGATATATGTGCGTGTATTTGTTGTAATGGATATGGAGAAGTGTGGAGGACGCCTCATCAATGGGGGTATTTATAGGAAAGTGAAATGTTATAGAAAAAGAAGATATATGTGTGTGCATTTGTTGCAGTAATGGATATGGAGGAGTGTGGAGGACACAATGGGGGTATTTATAGGAAAGTGAAATGTTATAAATCTTATGGTAAATTATAAACGCACGTTTAAGATTTATTTAATTTATAAATTATTTTTTGTAGTTTAAAAAATTATATTATGTCTCTTAAGATTTCTAATTTCATAACAAATAAGTCATTTTATTAATAAATTATTAAGTTAATTAATAGTTTTTAATAATGGTAAAATTTTATTTCAATAAATAATTTAAATAATTTTATTATTGTATAGTTGAACAGTTAGAAATTTCACGGTTTCAATTAATTCTATTAAATAAAAAATTTTGATAGGGAGGTATTTGTAATTTTTCAAATCATAGGAAATAATTTGTATTTTAAGTAAACCCGAAGAATGTATTTGTAATTTACCATAAATTATTTTATTTTATTTTATTAATTAATGTGTTTGGTAATAAAAAAATCAAGAATATCAAATGGAATTCACTTCAATATGTCATATATTAAGTAAGGCCAAGTTTGGCATAACCTAAATAATACAAAAAGTCAAAAAGTCATTATCCTATTTAAGTCACATCATCTTATTTAAATCACATCACCTCTCTAACACATCACATCAAACCCAACCCAAACCCAACCCATATAAGCCAATAAGTCAAAAAGTGTACTTTTTAAAAATATCCCAAACCAACCCTAAATAAAAAAACTAACGGCAACACATCCTAACGGTATGTTTAGAAGGTGATTAAGGCGTCATTTGGGATCTTGTTTTTTAATCAAAAAGTCAAAAAGTTATTAAATTAGTCAAAAAGTCAACAATTCATATCAAAAAGTCAAAAAAAAATTTGTCTCTCTACTTTTTCACATCTTTTGGTAAAAAATCAAAAAGTCATCCCAAAAATACTAGTTTTTTTTAGCTCATATTTTAGCCAAATAGCCAAAAAGTTACTAAATTAGCCTGCTCCCAAACGAGGCCTAAATTAGTCAAAAAAATTAATATAAAAATTAAAATTTTTATTTTTATTTTCATTCTTCCTACATTTTACACGTAAAAATGTTAAAGATTTTAAATATTTTACCGAAAAATTTCACAAAACACAACATGAATACGGGCCCCACACTCATATAAGGCCTCGTTTGGGAACCCTCATTTTTAGCCAAAAAGTCAAAAAGTTACTAAATTAGCCAAAAAACTAACAACTCATACAAAAAAGTCAAAGATTTTCTTTTCTCTCTATTTTTGCACGTCTTTTCGTAAAAAGTCAAAAAGTCATCCCAAACATACTAGTTTTTTTTAGCTCATATTTTAGCCAAATAATCAAAAAGTTACTAAATTAGCTTGTTCCCAAACGAGACCTAAGTATTTAGTAGATTTTTTTTTATCTCTAACATTTTTTTTTTGAACAGCAAAGAAAAGGATTTTATTGATGAAACCGAAAAAACAACAATTACAACAAAAAAGGCTAGGAGGAGGAGTGCAAAGAGCATCATAGCGCACCCTATCAATCCCAACTAGGTTGGCACCGACGGGGCCGCACAATCATATGCTAGCACCACCACAAGAGTTGGTGAGGAACCAACCACAAACAACAAAGACTACCTCACCCAAAAAAGCATTGGCCACACCTAGAACAAACCAAGCAATCAATCTATTCCTATTTACCGGCGTCTCTGATCAACCATCCTCATAGCAGC